AAGAGAATCCACTCTTCTAAAATCCTGGAGGCAGGAATACCTGTTATTGACAGGCTTTTGGGGAGGGAGAGGAGATTGAACGTAGTTGCATTTTTGCAGTTTGGTTAAAATATCCTGGTGCCGAGGGCAAATTATAGACCAAAAAAAAAAAAAGATAGAGAGATGGACCCTACTCTTTTGGATCCTGGCTTGAACTTTTTACTTACTTTTCTTCTTTAGCCACAGCTAAATGTGGATTCTGTGAGAGGAGTCAGCCGGTGGGTTTTCCATTGTTCCTTGTTTGAACATAAATCGTAGTTTTGCTGCTTGTGGAATTTTTTATTTCTTGAAAGGACCTCTCCAGGTAGCTTTTACGTCTGACAAAATGAAGCCTTTGTATTTTTCAGTCAATTATACCTAATACTAACGTTCTGTTTGGTACAAGGGACTAAAGTGCTGCCTCACTCAGAGGACCGTTAAAGACTTTCTCTTCTGCTACACGTAGCTGAATGTGTTATGATACATCCTTTCCTCCTCCCCAAACCCTCCTAAAGATTTTTCCAAAATGAAGAAATTTAATTTTCGCAAAGTTCTGGACGGTTTAACTGCCTCATCCCCTGGTGGAAGCAGTGGTGGTGGCAGCGGCGGTGGAAGTGGGGCTGGTGGTGGCTCCATGCACCCAGGAGGAACTGCGGGAGCTGCAGGGACTCCCCGAGATGAGATCCAGGAGACGCTAACTTCAGATTATTTTCAAATTTGTAAGGTAAGAGCTGTCAATATTTTTTTTAACTATGGAAATAAAAAAGCTGCGTTTTAGGGGGGGGCTTGGTAATACGACACCAACAAATCTTTTACTTGAGAACTGCAGTGGTTGTATAAGGACTTTAGCATGCAAGGACAGAAGTCTCACTGATGATTTTTCTTTCTGCTGCAGAGTTGGGGTAGTCAGTAAATTCATTAAAAAAATCTTAATTTCAGCATTGAGGGCCCATTCCTAAGTTCATTTGCAGACCCAAAACTAGTAACGAGATCATGGTCAGAAAAGCAAATCAATAGGTGCTAGTACAAAAAACACTTACAAGTCATTACAAATCTAAAATTGTATACATCCACTACCCCTCCTCCCTGTTCCCATCCTCTCCTCCTTTCCTTCCCTTTTGTAAGGAAAGGGCATAAACTAGAAATAAAAGCAGTGCAGTTTTTGCTTAACATAGTGTTTTCATTTATTATTTGTGAGGGATTGAATGTAGCTTCAGTTAGTTTTGTGGGTTTGGTTTTTTTTTTTTTTTTTTTATTTTGTATTAGCCCTGAAAATAATCATTGGATGACAACAAACTTAGTAGGACAGCATAAATATTGAAAGTTTGCAAATTTGTTTGGTACTGGTTTTAGGTATTTGTTAGGTCCTTCAAGTAGAAGGCATAAGATATCCCTATGTTTACTACGTTTTATGCCTGTTTTCTGCAACAAAGCTTTCTGTGCTGTTCTTAAATACAAGAGTAAAATCAGTACAAGCTACTTGGCACTTCTGACCAACCTTGGAATACAAAATTACACTTCTGTAACAAAGAACAAAAAAGAAAAGAGAGATTGCATTATGATCTTCTGATCCTATGCTGTTATCTTCAACTTTAACCTTAATTCTGTAGACTTCACTAGAAGTTTTGTTTGCTTATTTGTTTTGCTTAGAACCTTTGAAAAACAGTGTTTTAAATGAGTGCAATTTATATTATTAAGAGTGAATGACCTTCACCTGTTAAATATACCATCCTTTCTTTAGCCAGTGTAAGGACATCCATTGATTTGAAATTTAGGTTATGGTCAACTTCAGCACATTGTCATTTCTTTTTATGTTTTGGGAAGAAGGAAGAAGTATAAATGAGCAAGACAACCCTATAAAACAGCTGTGTGCAGATCTGGTCCTAGTGAAAAACACAGCTTTCATAATCTCAGATATTATGATTCATGTTCTAATCTATTTTCGGATACAGCTGATGTCAAAAATCATACAGACTTCAGGGCAAGAAGGATGAGCCACCATGACTTAAAGAGCTTTGGAATAGGTTCTATACAAATTCTAATTGCTGGGAGTTTTACAGTCCTTTGCCATCCATGAAAGCATATTCAGGCCTTTTGAGTCAAATTCATCTGTAGTTTAACAGAATGCCAGTAGCAGTTGCATTAGAATCATATCTGTTTATACCAGGGTTGAACTTGACTCCTTTTCTGTATGTGCACTGTATCTTATGAAATTCCAGATAGTTCAGTACATCATTTTCTCTTGTTAACACTTCAATAAAAAGGTAATGAAAATAATCAAGATACCTTGAAATATCATTAGAAGGTCTGACGTTCTGAAAATTTGGAGTAAGGCTAAAACTGAACACAGTTCTCCATGTTTAAGTCATTTGATAGTGCCAAAGATCTGTATTTTGTATGATATATTTTTATTTTGTGGGGTATGTGGGCAAAAATAGACAAAAGAAGATGAATCATAAACAAAAAAAAATGAATTCTCTACCTTATCTCTGTGTTTCTCTTCTTTGGCTTAATATTGCTTGAAGACAGTAGCGTGTTATGTTCTGAAAGATCTACTTGGGAACATGAAAGATCTACTTGGGAATATGAGTGTGCTGGGAATACATCATCTTGAGAAGATTTCAGTAGGCAATAATTGCCTCCCTTTTTAAATTAGAAGACTTAACTCTCAGGTTAAAATGTTCTCAACAAAGTAAATATTTGTATAGAGGGGCTTTTGGTTGCAGCAGCACTTGCTTGTGAATGCATGGTACTGCAGAAGTCAAGGTACAGTGTACAAAATATCGGCTTCCTTTTTTCAAAGTACAGAAGTATTTTGGGAAGTTTGCTTTTAGTATACTTTGTGATTATGTGCACAAAATACTGCAATGTATATTCAACACGCTCACCTTATTCAGCTGTATTGCAGTCTAGTAACATTACAAACATGTTTGAGTAAACCAGCAAAAAACCCACAGGCCCCAATCCTGCATTATGTAGTATGCAAGTGGACTGAAAGCAGTGGGACTCTACGCAGGCGCAGCTTTCAGTCTGCATGCTACAGGGCGAAGGATCTGGGCCATAATTTGTGCCTCAATCAATTTGAATTAAATTAAAAATAAAAGCAAGACACAGATAATGAAAGCTTTGTCTTTCTCAAGCTTTTGTTGTGTGGAACTTCTGACACCTCAGTTACTTTCAGTTATTTTCACGTTAAGTTACATAAGTTACATAGGCTGCATGTTTAAGGACCCATGATCTGTGATCCTGCCACACACACAACTGATTAAAGCTAATGGCAGTTTTAGGCTGTTATAATCTGCAGGATCAAGGCAGATTGGATGCACAGTCTAAGTAATGTTCTAAAACAGTTTCCATTTCTTTGCTGATTATTAAATCTTCATTTAGATATGAAACATAAAAGCTGACTCATACTTAAGAATTAAAGGGCCTTACCCTGCAGTCTTTACTGAAAGTAAATAAATTGACTTTTTGGAGTTTGTGGGAGGTCTTCTAGACTGAAAATATAGATTTGATGCTCTGTCAGAACACTGGTTTTATCAGTAACACACCTGAAAGCTGCTTCTCCCTTTTGTGATATTTTTAGGATTCTTATTACTACAGCGTCTTTTCAAGATGTAGATGAAACTTAATAGAAATAAACTTGAATATTTTACTTTACTCTGAGATATTCACAACGAGTTACTTCAGGCATTTATTTTTCAATACTGAAGATGACATTAATGATTTAAAGAATACAAATGAAATGTTCTTGACACTATTATGTATAAAATAGCTGCAGCTTTTCTTAAGCCTGATAAATTTATATCTATGTAGCTGTACTATTGAATCAGTGGCACCCTTTTAAAAGTGTTAATGTAATGATGTGAAATTCTGTCAGCTGTATTTTGGGACAACAGCAAGCTGAGGTATAGTTCATGCTGTATTTAGGACTGCCCTTGGGATTTGGGTATCCACACGCAGATCATAAAGATATTGATTATAGTTCACATTAGCTGAATTGAATGTGTGAGGTAGTCTCATGCCAAAAACTAGGTATGATCCAGTAGAATGTTTTAGTAAAGTTTATGTTAATTTTAATAAGGATAAATTAATTTTAATAAGGGTAGAGCTAGTTTCCTAGTTAATCCTCCTTTATTTTCCCCTCAGGTATTTTTCTGGCAAGGGTTTTTTAGGCCAGCCTGTGTTTGTCCGTAGTACGAAAAAGTTATTATATAGCAGTGGGAAGAAGTCTCATATTAGTATAGGAACTGAGAAGATCACAATTAGGAAGTTGCAAATCATTTGAGTAGAACTTTCAGCAGCAAGAACGTAAATAGAGGAACTAGTGATTTCATTACTTCTGTAGAAGGTCAATTGTTAGGGGATGACGTAGTTCGGAGAAGACTGAATAAGAATGAAGATGCATGTTTTTTGAACATATAGTGCGTATTATTTACGAAAGTAAGTCTCCCATAGAGAACTACATGAGCTTGCCTTGAAGAAGGATCATAGGATTGAATTTGTAGAGCATGATGTTAATAACTATATGCAGAAAATGTTTGAAATCAATACCTCAGTTAGGAACATAGTAAAAGTTATACTTCACTAGGCCTGTCTAAGTTAATCCAGTCCAGTATATTTTCTGTAGCTCTAGGCAGCAGCCAAATACTCTGGAAAATGTTCAAGAGCCCTAGAGTATTCTAACATAATTGTTTCTGAAACTGATGGTTTTGTGACTGCCTTTAAACCTTGAAGTATGAGATTTATGTTCTCTCCAAAACTGGTCCAACCTGTAATCATTGGGTAGCTTTGCATCCCATAATAATCAACTCATAATAAGCATCCCTTTGAATTTTGCTGTGTTACTCATGTTGCTAGTGTAGTCTTAGTTTCAGTATGCATATTACCTGGTCCTTACAGAAAAATCTGTGGAGGCCAGAACAGGTTTAGGATTTTGTTGAAAGTGGTATGGAAGCCCTCAGGTTGATTACAAAGGTGCCTTCCTAATCCCACTTATATTTGACAAAAACAAGCTGTCAAGATGCATCCAATCAGTAGCCGTATTTCAAAGACAATTTCCCTTTCTCATTTTTCTGCTAGCATTTCTTTCCTTTGGGCTCACAGCTATAATAGAGGGTGTACTGTTTTTTGGCCAAACTCCTGTTTCACAAAGTGAAATTATCTAAAAATATTTTATTTAGATATTTCAAAGTGTATGATGCCAATGTAGATGCAGATGAGTTTTAAAGACCTATTAGATGTTTTTATCATTTTGGTGACCCAATAGGACAGAATAAGATTCTGGTAGTGCTGTTAAAGCCTATATTTACATACCTTAACTATCTGGCTTTCCTATAAGCTGGCCTTAAATTTTAGCTTCTAGGGTTTACAGATGGTAATACTTTATTTGGTCCACCTATGAAGCGGAGCATTCAGTCCCTCTGACAGCAGTTGAGTAGATAACTTGAAGTATGGATACAACATGGAGCTGCAGTTCAAAGATAATAGAAGATGAATTTTGAAAGGAGAGTTTAAGAACAATTGTGTAGTAGCACATTATTCTATTTTTGCTTATAGAGCATAATGGAAAAATACTTCTGACCTTAAAAAAATTCTTTGGTGTAAGACGTGCATAGTGTTTTAGTTTGAACTGTTTGGTTAATTTGTGCTGTTTCTGTGTTGTAAGATCATTCAGGTCCAAAATAAAGAAAATCTGTATGAAGTGCTATATTTCAGAAAAGG